GATATTATTAAAATACAGCACGAAAGCTTCAAGTTTGCTTAGTAAACTTGACCACGTTTCATAGCAGAGATAAGTTACGCGAGCTTCCTAAAAAAGTATTGTAAAACGTATAAAAAAATTTTTTATCAATTGTGTAACCGATCTTTAAATTGATGGGACGGTCGCTTCTGTTAATAATACTACATATTGTGTGCGATCCCGAAGCTGCGCGTGATGTGATAATACTACATATTGTGTGCGATCCCGAAGCTGCGCGTAATGTGATCGTTAATCACGAGTGAATGTCTGATCTGTTGATAGTGATTAAAGTTGATCGACTTAAATGCTCATCAACTCATTGAGAAATTCGTCAACTTAGAGCGTTTTCGTAAATGGGCTCAACAAAGAATCTGATTTGTCAGTTTGATCATACAAACCAAAATAAAATGAACTAATACAAGAAAAAATAGGCGTGACTATGGCGATTTTGGATTTTTCTTTATTAATTTATATAGTGATCCTCATTAACCTTCTTCGCATATAAGAGTCGTAACCAACTGCTCTCAGTGACTATATCTCTTATAAGTGAGAATTCAAGTTTTCAAAAAATTTAAGTACAGTAAGTCATTACGTGAACAAATTACATCCCTTAAGTCACAAATCGCTGAATACAAATTAAATAAGTTTTATATTCAAGTAATACCAATATTTCTAAACCTATAATCCCACCAATAACAGATACAATTATCATAATAATTGTACTTAAATTTGAAGTTTGGGCAATTAGGCTTTGGTATGTGGTGTGTATGAGTCAACCCACCTATATTGACCATTTGAATTTTAAAAACTCTTATTTCGAAATACATTAAATAATAAGTGTCATGAATAGAGTATTCGCCTAGGTAAATTAAGATGCGAATGAATCCATAGTTATTGCCAGATGAAGAAAAAAACCAACTCCTTCACCATTAAATGAAAAAAATGTACGTCAAATAGAGTGTAGCTTTATGACTACTTGTGCACTTCTGGTTGTCGGGCAAGAGAGTTGCTGAGTGATCAATAATTAGGAAATGTAACTATTCTTTGTTGCAATCTGTAAAACTAAATGTATATTGTTAGTATCTTATTGACAAGAACATATAAAAAATGAATTGACTTATAAATGCACAATATTTGTCCATTGATTGGTTTTCGTGTCATACAGGCAGACCTCCCTAAGTGCACATCGTCGGGACTAGCTTCAGAGCGTGCATTTAGGGAGGGTTGCAATTAAAGAACACTAATAAAATCACCATGTGACTATTATCATGTGATAACTGTGACTTTAATAGCTTAGAATAATGGATTTGATTGGTTGATAATCACGTGGATGCATTTATGGAGGAAGTTTTTATAAGTGGGCCAGACAATTAGCGTGCACTTACAGAATAAAGAACGTGCATTTATCTATAAGTCCCACCATGGGCTCGGGGTTATATCATGCATTTAGGGAGATGCTGCATTTAGGGAGGGTACATTTAGGAAGGTCTGACTGTATATATCAAGCTTTAATATTGCATTGATCAGACTACTAAGATATCTCTCAATTCATGAAAAATGAACTCTGACTAATTGAATGCAATTATAGTTAACTAAAGTTTATTTTTCATAACTGATTTCTTGATATTATTTCTTACCTTATCTACACCTTTGCACTTAGAGAGTGGTTTTTATTATGATTGGCTGATTTTTGAAGTCATTTTATCATAATGAAGATTGAATTCTGAGCCACAAATATGAATTCTTAGGGAGTAAGACAACAAAAATTTTAAAGTTTATGCCTTACTTAATAAACTGACAAAGTAATTCAGTAATCTGCAGAAGTTATATGAAAGGTATGTTTGAATGTTTTAAGTTTTAACTTAGAGATACAATAAATCAATTAAACTTAGCAAGTTAAGCTGGCTTTATATATTTTGTAAAAATTTATTCTTTGTAATCTCAACTAATATAGAAACCTGACTATATTATAGGCCAAGAATATGAAATTGAAAGTCATAAGATTTATAGATTTCGTGAGAAAGTTAAACCGAAGTTGTAGTACTGTAACTATTATAATGGCGAAAATATAATGTGGAACATCGGGGCAACTCGAATTGAGGCGTGGAGTATTTGGCGAGTAAGTTTTTCTCCTTTTTTTTTTTTTTTTTTTTTGGATATATATTTTTTCATTATTTATATTTTTGGTTTATTTTTATTTTGACTATTACTAACTTTAATACTTTTATATCATCAACTAATAACTTAACAACTAACACCCTACAACTCAAACTCAACTACAGTATAAACATTCGATCTTTCTAATACTATAATTTACGAGAAGCGAAAGATAAGTTTTTTTTTTTTTTTTCTCTGCTGCTTTTATATAAGATTTGTACTGCTTACTAACTTGTCTATTTTTAGGTTTCCTTCCTAATACGTTTTCCACCATTTTTCCCTCATGCGATTGTGTTGGTGCTGTTATTGGGTAAGTATCTTATTTGTCAGTTTTGCACTTTTCCTTTCTGGTTCTATTACTAACAAAATTTGTTTCACTTTTTTTTTTTTTTTTCTTTTGTTTGTTTGTTTGTTTATCCATTTTCGCACTGCCTTTTGTCATCCAATTGTTTTATCATGTTGCTATTCTGAAACCTTGTTGTTGTGCATTCGATTCATGCCTGATTTGGAGCATACGCCTTGCTGATTATCTTCGATCGTGGGCAAATGCATGCATGCATTCGAACTGGTTTTCGGAGTATAATCACAGTTGAGGCACTATCGATCACGTTCGTTTTGGTTGCAACTCATTTTTGTCCATGATATTTCTCTAGTGCTTATCATATACATACCACGCATATTAGTCACTAGGCGTTAATTTGAGTGACTCCGGCACTTTGGGCTTCATATAAAGGGTCGTCAGGTGGCTTGGGATCAGATTGATTCTTTCGGTTGCTTGCTTCTTTGGTTTGTTCGATAGGTAAGGTCTCTTTGTTCTCTCTTCCCTTTTTTTTTTTTCTTTTTCTTGTATTGTTATTCTTTGCCTTTATACGTTTACTAGATTAATGCTTATTTGGACAAGATTCAGAAGTGGGTACAAGAGTGACTTGTGCAATCGGTTAGATAGGAGTTTTTTTTTTTTAATCGTAATATTTTTTTAATAATTTGGTATTAATTGGAGCTATTAATACTTTTTCATTTATGGTGCACAATTTGTAAGCATTATTTGGAAGTTGGTTATGAATATAGAACAGGCTATGCTATTTTGACTCGAATTTGCCACTTTTAGACTGTTCCTTCGCAGCCTTATACAACAGCACTTTTTCACCAATGTCGAACCCAGGGGCCAATTTGTGGTGAGTATCATAATAGGCTTTCTGTTGGGCCTGGGTCTGTTATATATTCTGCATAGCCTTACCTCTAAAGTGTGGAAGATGGTCAATCAATTCATAGGTCCTTTGCAATATCATTCCTTCTAAAAATGAGTCAGCTCTGCTTGGGTATATTGGTTGACGGGCTTCTTGGCCATAAACTAGATAAAAAGAGGACATTTTGGTTATAGAATTCTTGGAGGTTCGGTATGCGAACAGTATGGAGGGGATCAACAAATCCCAATCAGGCACATTTACCACGAGTTTTGCAATTGCTTTACACAAGGTTTAGTTAAACCGTTTTACCAGTAAGTTTCAAGCTTTTCAACCATTTCAAGGCACTGTGGTCAGTAATAATGATGAATGGGTTTAAGCCATAGTAGTGGTAGTAGTGTTCTACTGCCCATAGGATAGCCAAACATTCCAACTCAGTCGCAGCATAATTTTTCTCAGGGGGCGTTAGTCCTCGACTAGTATACGAGATTATGAATTCCTTCCCATTGTCATCCTTCTGTGCAAGCACTGCACCAAGTCCAGAACCAGAGATGTTGGTATAAATATAAAAGGTCTTTGAAAAATCAGGGTACCTCAGAATCGGAGCTATGATCAGGTGACGTTTCAACGTCTCGAAGGCTTGGTCTTGATCTTTTCTCTAGGTATACTCAATATCCTTTCTTAGCAAATGATATAGGGGGCGAGCAATCATAGTGAACTTTTAATAAATCACCAGTAGTGCAATGACAAACTCAGGAAATCACGCAATTGTCAAAGGGTCTTTGGGATTGGAAACTTCTTCACTTTCTCGATTTTTGCTTCATCGGGCTTGATTCCATCGCGGCTAACAATGTGACCAAGGAAGTGGATATCTGGGCAGAAAAAGATACACTTTTCATAGTTTAGTTTTAAGTTAGCTTCTCTTAGCTTATTAAAGACTATGCTAATATGGTTCAAATGTTCGTTAAAAGATTCAGAGTATATGTTTATATTATCCAGGTATACAACAATGAACTTGCCAATATAGTCAAACAGGATCTTGTTCATCAACTGCTGAAAACTGGTGGGGCATTATACAGGCCGAATGGCATAACGTTAAACTTATATGTCCCAAAAGAGGTAATGAATGCCATTTTTTCTTTATTCTTTTCATTGATGATCAATTGCCAGTTATCACTTAACAAATCCAATGTACTAAACCACCTTGCTTTAGAAAACACTTCCAGGAGATCATCTATATGGGGTAAAGGATATACATCCTTTTTTATCACCATGTTCAACTTACGATAATCAATGCATAGCCTCAATTTACTGCCTTTTTTTGGCACGATAATGATTAGGGAGGACCAGGGGCTTTGGGACTCACGTATCAACTTACGTTCCTTCAACTGGGTTATTTCGTTCTTTATGACTCTTGAACACCAGGGGCAGCTCTATATGCCTTTTGTTTAATGAAAGCAGCATCACCCGTGTCAATTACATGATCGGTTCAGTTGGTGCATCCAAATTCTTCAATGGTTTGTGCAAAAATGTCTTTTTCCTTCTTTAGCATTCCTTTAGCCTCCTTTTGTTGCTCATCGTTTAATTTTTTACTAATATCCATCTCACTGATTTTCTCTTCCAGGTTTTTTGTTTCAGGTTCAACAGGGGTCGTAGGCAATTCTTCAACATAGGACAGGTATGCTGTGAGGCTTTGTACATCTTGTCAGGGGTTAGCAAAAAGTTCGGCATCTTCATCACTCATTGCTTCTTCGGAAAAGAAACCTTTTGTTTTCTCTACTTCTTCTTCCTCATAGACCAATTGGTCAAACATATCATCCTCATCACCAATGGAACCTTCAAGATTAACTTTTCCTCAGGTTAGTACAATTTCTTTGATCTGTTGTTTGAGATTGGTACTTCAATGATCTTTCCTAAATACCTCAAGATCATTTTTTGTTCATCAAAATATATACGGGTCCAAGCCCTTTCAAACCAATCATTACCCAACAAAAGTGTTTTGTCGACCGATTCAATTACTTGAAGTGGACTGGAGATGAGTACATCTTGAACCACAATTTTGGCACTTTTAACTTTTCCTAGTGTCTTTGTTCGAACACCTGTCACAGTTACTATGACCGTGATAGACCTTTCTTTAATCTTCAGACCAAGCTTATCCATTAATTTCTTTGTAATAAAGCTGGCAGCAGCTCCGGAATCTAAAATTGCAACTATGGGATTATTCCTGATTCTCACGTGACACCTTGCTGTGGTAGTTCTCTTTTCACCAGCATCAACATAGTGGGTTTCTTTCATCAATAGGGCCTTCGAAAGGCTTTTGCCAAATTCCTATATTGGTTGGGGTACTGTAACATTTGTCTAATCGTGGCACTTGAAGGTTTAGTCAAAATATCATCAGTGACATTGTACAGAGCCAACGAATCAATTACCAACGGACCACTTTTTTTTCTGAGGGCTCTAATGGGGACAGCAGTATCATTATATTGCATTAAATCATCGTCATCTATTAATGGATAAGTTTTCTTGGTTTCCCTTAGTTGGGCATTAATATTGTTTCTATTTCTTAGTCGACCTTTCTATTGTGATTCAGAGTTTAGTGGGTGGTTATTGTTCTGACGTTGGTAGAGTTGGTACCTTTTTCCTGCGAAGACTTCTCTTTCAAGACCATAGTCATCATCGATGTAACCATAATTGGCTTCAAACTCACATCTCAGAGTATGACTTGGCTGGACTGGTCTTCTTTCAGGGGAGACTGGAGCTTCTCTTTTGATCAGATATTCTCTTGCATAGTAGCCTTTTTCACTACACTTGTAACATGTAACTATCGTGGTCACTCTGGCTGGAGGCCTTGTTCTTGGATTATTAGCTTCGGCTTGGGTTGTCAACAGAGTAGCAAGTTTATTGTAGCCGATCTTCATTTCTTAGATTTGTTGCACCAACTCATTCATATTACCTTCCCAATTATTATCACTTTTCCCCTTTTTTTCCACAGCAACATTTCTATAAAAACTTCTGGCTTCTATTTTTTTAGCAGCAGAGATGGCATCATCCAGGATTTCAGGGTCTTTTATTGATACTAACAAAGCTACATTCCCTTGTAAACCTCCAATGATTATTTGCATAATGTATTCTTTAGGCAGAGCCTTTCCACAGGCAACCCTTTTCAGCAATTTTTTGAATTTGAAGGTATACGTTCCCACACGTTCACCTTCCTTTTGGACCAGGTGTTTAATTCAACCTGCTATTGATGTTTTCTTTCGGAGGTCGCAAAGTTCTTCAAAAACATTGGCACAAAACTCTCATCTTGTACATACTCCTCATCCCAATATAGGATCTTCTTTTTATTGTTGTAGAACCAATTTGTAGCGATTCCAACAAGATAATCAGAGGTGATCCTGATTTTTCTTCTTGCAATTCAGTTATTCGTGTCGGCAGCTCGTTCAAAGGCTTCTATCCATTCGTAAGAATCTTCATCGTTATCTCCATAGAACATTCTAACTCTAATCCAATTATTTTTATAATTTTCAGATCATGCGCCGTTAACGACACTTAGGGTCGCATCTCGGAAAGCACATGCTATTTCCCTTAAAATGATAGTAACTTGGTTTTGATCTACTTGCGGGTTTCTTTCTGATTTAGTGGTTTGATTACTTTCATTGTTTGGTATGTCAAGTAAGTCATCAATCATTTCTTTGTTTGATTTTTATTTCTGTTTGGTTTGTTGTTTTTTTTTTTTTTTTTTTTTTTTCTTCCTCTTTCTTTTTTTTTTTTTTTTGTTCGTTATTTATTATTATTTGCGCACAGGTTATAAGGCTATTGTCATAAGTGTAAAACTTAGAAAGAAAAAGGTAAAATCTGTATTGTCAGGTGAGCCTACTTTTATATGGCCTGATTTGATTAATAATCTTGAAGTTTATTTGTCGATCTTTCGTCACTTATACTTTGATGTTAGTGAAGTTTGGTCAATTTTAGTTTATACTTTATAATTAAAATATTGAGTAATAGTGAGCAATTTGTGATGTAATTAATTTGCGCAAGTCGCAAATTTGATATAAAAAAAATTTTTTTTTTTTTTTTTTTTTTTTTGTTAGTAAAAATCTCAGAAAAGTTCTACCGAGGTCCTAGTGCTAAGGGCCTAAAACTTCTACTCTTTCTTTGCAGGCAAGTATACTGTATTTATTATTATAGTTTTTTTTTTTTTTTTTTTTGGCTTCCTTTCTAACAGTCTTTTTTTTTTTTTTTCAACGCCTTCGTATATTTTTAATATTGGAGTAAGTATTGTTTTCAACTTTTTTTCTTCTTTCGTCACCAGCTATATATTTGATCTCACAGTCACCACCAAAAATGTAACAGTGAAAATATAACGTAGAACGTTGAGCCAACTCGAATTGAGGCATGGAGTATTTGGCGAGTAAGTTTCTTACCTTTTTTTTTTTTTTTTTTTTTTGGATATATATATTTTTTTTATTTACATTTTTGGTTTATTTTTATTTTGACTGTTACTAACTTTAATACTTTTATACCGTCAACCAATAACTTAACAACTAACACCCTACAACTCAAACTCAACTACAGTATGAACATTCGATCTTTCTATACTATAATTTATGAGGAGCAAAAGATAAGTTTTTTTTTTTTTTTCTGCTGTTTTTATACAAGATTTGTACTGCTTACTAACTTGTCTATTTTTAGGTTTTCTTTCTAATACATTTCCCACTATTTTCTCTTATGCGATTGTGTTGACGCCGTTATTGGGTAAGTATCTTATTTGTTGGTTTTGCACTTTTCCTTTCTGGTTCTATTACTAACAAAATTCGTTTTACTTTTTTTTTTTTTTTGTTTGTTTGTTTATCCATTTTCCCACCACCTTTTGTCACCTGATTGTTTTATCATGTCACCATTCTGAAATCTTGTTGTTGTGCATTCGATTCATGCTCGATTTGGAGCGTATGCTTTGCCGATTATCTTCGATCATGGGCAAATGCATGCATGCATTCGAACTGGTTTTCGGTGTACGATCACAGTCGGGGCACTGTCGATCACATTCGTTTTGGTCACAACTCATTTTTGCTGTGACACTATATAGCAATTATTAAATAAAATTAAAGACCAGTTTGATATTGGAGCAAATACTAAAAGTTATTTTTGATTATTTTTTATTAGCAATTAGTATTTTAGAATAGATTTAAACATTTATTTCTTGTATTTTTTGTTTTTGATTTGTTTTTTCTTTTTGATTTGTAGTATTTTAGGACTATTTTTTAATAAAATTTTGGTTTGTCAGAATTTGTCTGCAAAATGATATAGTTTTAAAGTTATTGAGATTTCGTAATAAAGACTTTGCTGATATAAATTTCATTATTTTTTTTTTTTTTTTTTTTTTCCCCTTGCAATGTCGCGAACAGGCAAATTTTTATTAGGAATTTATATAGTACATTACTACTACCTATAATTACGCTAGCCCATAACCTCATGCTGCTACATTTAAAGACCACCCAGATTGACATGTGCTACACTACTTGTGTCCTAATTCTATAGATAACCCAGTAGGGTTCTCATACTTACCAGGTTACCCTAGGGAGGATGTAGTATATACTCCCAATCTTTCTATGTCCTACACGTTTCCAGACTAGGCTTTTTCGGTAACTTACACCGAGTCTGAGAACAAGTACTTGCGAGCTGAAGCCGCTACAGTTACCTACTACTGCCCTTGTAGAGTTCGCCCAAACCCAGTACCTACTTTACGGACTCCTTTCCATACATCCGGAAACCCAAACTCCCAATCCTACAGCCCGGAAGGGCGGACCCTTCCTTCATTTTTCCCCATCGGCCTAGTTAGTATAGTGCTTTTGCCAAACACCTCGGTCCCGTCCGGTTTTCTGATATCCAGTTGATCATCCTTTACATAATAACCGTCAAAGATCTGTGCTACCTCTCCACTTAGGTCTTGCCAAGCAGGCTTCCGTATCCTATAAATTCGCTGGATTTATCTGGTAGTTTCACTCGAGTTTCGTGTAACTCATACATCACACTACATGTTCCACTACCTCCAGTACAAGCTGATATGACCACCATTACAGGTTCTACAACCCAATAGAATACAGTCTTCCAAATGCATTTTCTATAATTCGAATTTTCGTCACTGGTGGGATTCGAACTCTAGTCCTGCTGCTTGGAGGTGCGACAACTTGCCAACTTCACTAAGTCGCCACACCCTTTAAATTTCATTATTGATATGGTTATTTGCATATATTAGTTTTTTTGTGATAATTTAAAGTTTAGAACTTCGATTAATTTCGATTAATTAATAAACAAGGTTCGCGTTGGAGAGGTTGCAGTTGCAGTGAGTAGTAATAATAATTATGTAAGGTTTGGGTATTATAATTCTGGTTAGAGAAGGTTCTAATAAATATTATAAAACAGGGTGAAAGCAAAGTTGAGAAATAGTGAAATTTGCTTTGTAAATCAGTTTAAAGTGAAATTTGTGTTTTATTATATTTTTTATTATACATATAAAAGGCAGGTTTCACCTTTATGCAATTTCAATTAAGGGTTCATGCTGTCATAATATTATGATTTTAACATTTATTGGATTAAGTAAATATGTAATTTAATATTTATTGGTATATAAAAAAAAGTGTTTAAAAAAAATTGTAAGACTTGAAACTTTAAAAAGTTATATAAAACATATGTTTTTTTGTGTTTGGTGCTATTTTAATATAGTATTGAGATTGGTGTTTATATTGTATTAAGATTTTTTTTAATATTATGTTTTGCTAGTTTCTTTTATATAGATGTTCTAAATAGTTTCAAGTATTGATAGGAAATGATTAATTTTTGTATAATAATTAACTTGTATAAGTAAAGCAAATTAAATTGTATTAAAATTATTTGATTATGATTAATATATTACAAGTTATTAGTAAAAAAATATAAGTGTGTCAGTATTTTTCATGCATTATAATAACTGTAAATATGTTTTAATATTTTGGTTTTTTTTGGTTTGTTGTACTGTTTTTGTTTGAAATTGTATATTTAGTGTTCATTAGTATTGATAGAAGTAGGGTGCATATTGTAAGAAAGTGATTAAGTATTAATTAATCTACAAGTAATAAGTAATATATATGTTCAGATAATTGTTATATTATATGTGGATTATAAAACAAAGAGAAATAAAAAAGAAATAAAAAATACAATAAGTGGTATTTAAGTTAAAAATTAATGAAAAGTAGTAGAAGAAGATTATATATTTATAAAGTAACAATGTCAAGTTGTTAATAAAAATATTATCTGCTATTACTTATAAATATAATAATGATAATAAAATTGAATTCATCATATTAGCAGATTTTTGGAATTTATTATTAAAAATTCTAATAATATTTAACTGTGAATAACTTTTGATTCACTAGTCTGTTTTTAATATAACAATTACCAAAATGTTTATCTCAATGAGACAATTCTAATGGACTAAAACTCATCAAAATCCAATCACAAAATCCTGAAGTCGATAGAGATTTGTGTTACTTTAGGTGTTTTAGAATTGGTTAAACTACCATATAATTCTGAAAGTAAGCACCCCCTGAAAATAAGCACATCTGGCTCGCACTAAACCAATTTTGGCCTGCATTATAATGATCTTGGCCAGTATTAGATGCAAAAAAAGAGTGCTTAATTTCGAAAGTCTACAGTAATCCTAAAACACTCGAAGTAAACAAATCATTAATGATATCAGGATTCTGTAATTAGATTTTGACGATTTTTGGTTCATTAGAATCGTCTCATTGAGATAAGCATTTGGTAATTGTTTTATTGAAAATGAACTAGTGGGTCGAAAGTTATTCACAGTTAAATATTATTGGAATTTTTAATAATAAATTCTAGAAACTGCGAATATGTTAAATTGTTTTACTATAATACATAGTCAAGAAAGATTGATTGTAATTAGAGTTGATAAGGAAGTGGATTAAAATATACAATTGCTGTAAGAACTATCTAATAAACTCAATTTTTTATTATTATTATATTTACAAATAATGTTAACTAAATTTGTTTTATAGACAATACTAGAGTTGTTTTGATAAATTGTACTAATTTATTATAAGAATGAGTTAATCTAAAT